GCTTAATACCTAGCACAGCTGTGCCTTCAGCTCAGAATATACTTAAGTACCCTGTAACTGCACCTGTGCTCAGTTTAGCACTGCAAGAATGAACAAAGAAAGGGCCGGGGAGGTGGCTCAGTGGAATAAGTGCCTCCCTGGCAAGCACAAGGGCCTGAGTTCAATCCCCGGTTTCACCAAAAAAAAAAAAAAAAAGAGGCGAAGTGGTAGGAGCACAGTGGCAGGAGCACAGGGAACAATCCTGCATCTTCAGATGGTCACTTAGTGATTGCGCTCTGGCATCAGACTGCACGTTTATTAACAAGCGGCTTAGAAAGCCAGCCTTACTTAGACCCTTAAATTAAGAGTTAAAGTTTTATTTTTCTCTTTTAATACTAACAGGCTGTACAACTCAGAATAAGTTACTTCCCATACTCCTCCTCATGTTGTGAGGCTCTTCACAAGAAAGCAAACTCCACAAGTCAAAGACTTACATCTTTTCTTTTGTATTTTCCCCATCTCATCCCATTGTGTTCTGTATGCTCAATAATTGTTACTGCCCAAAATACAATTATGCTTGTTTAGAGATTTGAAAACAGACTGATTTTGTCCCTGTTTCATTATTATTAATCTAAGAAGCGCTTGTATCTCTTCCTACACATTAGGCTTCTCTAGGCGAAATCAACACTGTCCATTCCTCGTGCAGAAGCGAAGCTTAATAAATGTTATGGATTGAAGCGTATAACAAAGCATTTAATAAATGAATCACATCTTCAGCATTCCAGCAACAACCCAGTATCTTTACTTCTATGGAACGGCAAGCACCTGCTTGCTGATCCGAGGAGAGCACCAGGAAATGCTGGGGTTGCACACACCTGTATGGATGCGCAGGTGGTTCTTGAGGTTTCCAGCTGTAGTGAACTGCTTGCCACAACTGGTCTCAGGGCACATAAAGGGTTTCTCCCCATTGTGTGTCCTCATGTGTACCTTCAGCCTCTGCAGCACATAGAAGCTTTTTCCACAGCCTTCTGCAGGGCAGATGAAGGAGCGGTCATTTCTGCAAAAACAATCATGTAAGTAACAGTACATGGAAGTATCTTTGCTAGAGCTGAGAAGTCAAACTCATCACTCTCCAGGTATACAGTAAATTTCCAATCTGGATAGATGATTCATTTCATAGCTTTGGTATAGGAGTCCGGCTTATGTATTTCTGTTTTATTTTGTAGGCGGTACTGGGATTGACCTCACATACCAGGGAAGTGCTCTGTTACCAAGTCAAGCCCCAGCACCCTCCACCCCTTTTTGGTTCCTGAGATTGAACTCAGGGTCTTGTACTTACTAGCAGGCACTTAAGCCGCTGAGCTATCTCCCTGGCTCCTCCCCAGCCCTCTGTGAGACAGTTTTGTTAAATTGCCCCTCTTGAATTTGTGATCCTCCTACCTCAGCCTCCGGAATAATGGGTATTACGTGCATATGCCACTTACACAAGGTTTTGTTGTTTGTTTTTTACATAAGACTTTAAAAAAGGCCAAGAGTCACACCTTAAACACAAGGCGGCTGTAGTCCTGCTTTCCTTTAATGTGTCAGTTGGGAGACAAGGTTCTCAGGAGGCATCACTGCTCTTACGCTCCATACACTCACCGGTGAGTTTTGAGATGATACTTGAAATGAGCTGGCCACACAAATGTCCGGTCGCATCCTTCAACGGTACACTTGAGCTTCTTCTCCACTTGAGGAAGGGCTCCAGAATCTTTGGGCTGCCCATCAGCAGAACCGAGGTGGACATTTTCTCCTATAACACAGTCACATATTTATAATCCGGGGAAGGACTGTGCTCAGATAGGTAGGGTCAAACAATAAAGTTCTTATGGGGCTGGTGAGATGGCTCAGTGGTCTAAAGCACCTACTTAGAACAAGCTTAGCAAAGCCCAGGGACCGCGGTTCAATCCCCCAGCACCACATGCCAGCCAGCCCCGCCCCCTGGTGGGCTGAGCTGGCCACACACACACATAAAAAAATTTAAAAAAAAATAAAGTTCTTATAATTCACTTCTAGTGATCATTAATCAGATATCTAACTTCACCTTCCTCAGCTCTTTTCAGTTTAACAACAGAAATAAGAGTTTTTACGTTCCCATCTCCTTAGTCAGAGAACTGTCAGCAGCTATCATGTTTTCTTTCACACATCTGTGCAGGCCTCTTTGATAAACATAAGAAATATCCAAAATTGTTTCTTATCAGAAATCTCAAGCAAAATTATACCTATTTTGAACTATACAAATTTGTAAGGAAGCACGTAAATCAATAACCAAAATGGGATATGACAGAGAAGACTTAAAAGTTCAAGTAATACAATCCTGTATTTTAAGGAGATGTGGTCACTCTGACTTAGTGTGAGCTTCTGGCCTATTTCTATCTGAGACCACCATTTTGAAGTCACTTTGGTGGCTTTCTGTCACTCTGGAGAATAAAGACCCATCTCCTGATTTCCTCTACTGCTGAGGGCCAGTCTGATGCAGCACAGTATAGGCAATGATTGAGATTAATGAACTGACATAAAAATAAACTGATGGGGCCGGGGAGATGGTTCTGTAGAATAAGCGCTTCCCTTGCGAGCACAGGGCCTGAGTTCAATCCCCAGTTCACGCCAAAAAAGAAAAATAAATAAATAAACTGAATCAAGAGTCTGTCCTAGGCCTGATGTGTGGTGAGGCCCACAGCTGGCATGGGGATGTAATTAATCCCCAAGCCAAAGGCAAGGACTGAAACTAGCAGACAGTCTATGAAGGCCCGGAGCCCCAAAGCAAGAGAAACACTCCAGCTGGGGACTCTGAGTCACCCATATTCCTTTTGGCTCAGTAGTCCCAGAAGATAATCAAGTTACTAGTTAACCATGATCTGTTTGTCCCTGTGTGCTTTTCCAAAACTGCTTTGTTCTTCCAATCCTTGAGCCTTGCCTGCATCAGATGTTCACCTCCATCACTTCCTATAGCCCCCAGCACAACTCCCAATCAAGTTGTACGCCCCATGAAGGCCAGGGACACCGAGCCTTGTGGTCTCAGCCCTTCTGTCACTCTAACCATCCAGTTCCCCTTGTAACTAAAATACGTTATCCTGTCTGTGTTTTATTCCTCTGTCATATCCCTCAGCAGGAGATCAGTGGTCCTAGGCCAGGGCTCCATAGTGTACCACCTCTCTTTGTTATAAAGTATTTTGAAATGCAAAAATTTAGCTGATTTTTAAATTCACAACCATATTAAATAAACAAACAAATAAATGAAGTAGAGAGAAGCCAAGCATACTGGTGTACCACTGTATGTAATCCTAGCACTTTTGGAGACTAACACAGGAGGACTACAAGCTTGAGATGAGCCTAAGCAACTTTGTGGTTTTGAAGACCCTGTCTTAAAATTATAATAATTAAAAAAAAAAGACAAAGGATGGATGAAGCTCAATATAAAGGTCATGAATTCAATCCGCAGGTCCACCAAAACAAAACACAAGCAAAAGTTAAATATCTACTGGAGTTTTTCTCAGTAGATTAAATGGAGGCAAAAATAGTGCCTCCATTAAATTTAAGTGAAATCAGCTGGGCATGGTAGGGAACCTGTAATTTCTTTTCTTTCTTTTTTTTGCTTTAAACAATTTATTTAACTGAAATGGACTTAAAGTTTGTTTCTGAAGTGACTTCCATTTATTTTGATACATCTTTTCCCCATGATGATTTACAAGATTTTCAAGCCAATATAAATACTTTATAAATATTTGAATTTTTGGGTATACACCTGCACAGTACCTCAGCAGTATCTTTCAGCAAGAAAATACTGAAGAGTAAAGGCTAGACACAATTACTGGGTACAGTGAAAATCTGCTGCAAATATTTCTGAGGTAAGAAGGCACCACATACCTGTTCAACTAAGAAAACCACCCTTACAACACAGGATGATTTTAATTTTACATAGGACCTAGAACACTTAAGCTGCCTATTAGGTGCTGAATGGCAGAGTAACATCCCCAGTTTATGCCATGAATTCCTAGGGAATGGGTTCCAACAACTCGGGTTCCTTTCCATTGGTCCTCACAAAGTGTGCTTCTCTGGAGGGCCAGGCTGGCGCTTCAGCTGAACCCAGGTACCTTCTCTTTGGCTTCCTTCTTTTTCTGATCATTTTCCTTGACACGTTTCAGGAAGCTATCACGCCTATTTGAGTGTTTAATATGCTCCATATGCACATTAATCCTCTTGGCAAGTATCTTGCCCTTAACTTGCTTGTTTACAACGATGCAACAGCATGCTGGGTAACGTTGTAGACTCTTCCCGTTTTGCCATGGTAACATTTGTGAGGCATTCCATTTTGCACAGTACCTATTCCCTTGATGTCTACAATATCACCCTTTTTGTAGATTCGCATGTATGTAGCCAAAGGAACAACCCCAAGTTTTCTTTTCTTTTTTTTTTTGGTGGAACCAGGGATTGAACTCAGGCCCTTGTGCTTGCCAGGGAAGCGCTTATTCCACTGAGCCATCTCCCCGGCCCCAACCCTAAGTTTTCTAAAAGGCCTGGAAAACATATACCAGGTTCCCCTCCACTTGCCCTTTGTGTTAGTCATTTTGGCAAATTACTGGAAGATGGCGGTTCCGGCCGAAAGGGCTGCACTTGGAATTTCTGCATTTTTTCCAGGCTGAAGCCAGATTGCAAATTCTATCCCAGCCTGGGCAACTTAGTGAGACTGTCTCAAATTAAAAAATTTTTAAAGCAGACTGGAGATGCAGCTCAGTGCAAATTCCCTGGGCTGAATCCCAAGTACCATCTAAAAAAGTGAAATCAATTAATTAAAAATTTTATTAAGCCAGGTACGATGGTGCATGCCTGTAATCCTAGCACTTGGGCGGCTGAGACTAGAGAACTGCTGTGTCTGAGGCCATCCTGGACTACACAGCGAGACCTTGTCTCTAAATAAATAAATAAATAAATAAATGTAAGTTACAGATTAGCAAGTGGTGTTTTTCCCTTCACTTTGTGTGGAGGGAGAGGGGGCTAAGGGGACGGAACTCAGGGCTTTCACACTGAGCCAGCCCTTTTTAAATATTTTTGAATTTTAAGACAGGATGTCAATAAATTCCCAGGCTCGGCTTAAATTTAGCCTCAGCCTCCCAAGGTGCTAGGATACAGGCATGCACTGCCCACACCTAGCTTCCTTCATTTCCTTGGAACTCCTCAGTGTCAGAAGATAATCTACCTTCATTTTCTTTAAGACACAGTTGGACAACAACAGAGAAATTACTTAATTAACCTATTTAATTCTGCTATGAGCATATGGAGTTTAATACCACTATATGTGTAACTTGGAAATAAGATTTATACTGCCAAATTACACTCTCAAAAGCCAAGAATAGGACATATAAGTTGTATTTTTCACATTCTGAAAACAAAGAACTACTCAGCTCCCTGTCCACTGCCTCCGCTGTCTTGTGCTGCCGCTGAGTGCTGCCCCTCTGCCACGTGCCACCCTGCCTAGGGGCGCGCCAACTGTGGACTGAAACCTCTACAAACAGCTCGATAAACCTTTCTCCCTACAGTTTTCTATCCATTTTCTCTTTCAATTTTACATTCTCCTTGCTATTTTACCAAATTCTAGTCACAAAACAAACTGCTTCAAGGTCAGGGCAGAATCTAGGATGGCTTCTTCAAGTTATTATTAACTTTTTCTTTTTTAATATTGTTGCATTTTAAAAAATTTTTGTTTGAGTGCTGGGGATATAGCTCAGTGGCACAGCACTTGCCTGGCATGCACAAGGTCCTTGGTTTGATTCCCAGCCACTATATACACACAGGCCCAATTTAAATAGGACAAAATTTCCTACCAACCTTAGTTGCAGTTAATTTCCAGTTGAAGGGCTGGGGATATAGCTCAGTGGCATAAGTACCTGTCTGGCAAGTTCGAGCCCCAGTACCAAAAACAAAAACAAACACAAACAAACAAACACCCTAAAAACAAAAAACAATTTTCAATGGGAAGTCTGTAGAAATCTTCTGTGATTCCAAGACTTAAAGTAGTGAACAGTTGAAGCTTTGTGTATTCCATTTTGAAAATACATTAAGATATTGAAAAGAACATTCATACAATTATGAAACAGAAAAAAATGATATCCCTTCTCTTCAACAATGAAGACTGACAATACAGTATGTGCTCAACTGTAAGGCAATCATTTTTTTCCCTAAAAAATTTCCTCCGCCAGGTATTAAGTTTTCAATTAGCAATAATCGCGCCTTGGATGAACCTCATTGGCTACGGTACTGCCACTGCGCAGAGCTGCCGCCAGGTATTAAGGACATCTTGGAATCCCAGCTACCTCAGGACACTGAGGTGAGAGGATCACAAATTCAAAACTGCTATGATGGTAGACGAGCCCAGTCTGGGCAACTCAGCATCTTAGCAAGGCCCAAGCAAGCAAGCAAGCAATGGCAGGGCTTGTGGCTCAGCAAGAAGACCCCGAGTTCAATCCCCAGTACTGTATTGTGGGGAAAAAAAAAAAAAAAAAATTCCTTCAGGAAAAAGTGAGCTGCCTTATACTTGAGTTCTTTTTTTTTTTTTTTTTTTTCTTTTTTGGCAGAACCAGGGATTGAACTCAGGCCCTTGTGCTTGCCAGAGAAGCGCTTATTCCACTAAGCCTTCTCTCCGGCCCCTATACTTGAGTTCTTAAACAAGCACTTATTTAAAAGATGCTTCCGTCAGTTACTTTGGCATTTAAAACTAAGAGCTAGTTAGGGAAGATAGAGCCGCTTACAATAAGCCCAACAAATGACCATTTTGGATATTCAGAGGTTATCCAACTGAAAAGACTAAAAAATTCCGCACTTCATAATTGCAAGTGTTGAACAACACAGCACTTTGAAGAGATCCTAGTTATTAATATTTTTGTTTGTTTGTTTTCTGTGGTACTGAGGATTGAACGCAGGACCTTATACTTGCCAGGCAAGCGCTTACTCTACTGAGCTATCTCCCCAGTCCCTAGGTATCTGAATAGGTCTTTTCATTTGAGATAAAATTGCTGCTAAAACTGTCATACATCACAGAGGTAAGCAAACTTTTTCTATACAGAGCCAGAGAATAAAATACTTAAGAGCTTTTAGAGCTGTACGGTCTCAGGCACAACTATTTAACTTTGCAAAGTAGTAACTATAAACAATTAGCAACTAATACATACGGCCTCCTTCTGGTAAAACTTCACAAACCCTATTTACAAAGGCCAAAGGCCTCTGCTAACTTGACATACAGCATCATAAACAAAATCATTTCTTTTTTTTTTTTTTTTTTTAAATTTTATTTATTTATTTATTTGAGAGAGAGAGAGAGAGAGAGAGAGAGAGAGAGAGAGAGAGAGAGAGAGAGAGAGAGAGAGAGAGAGAGAGAGGCCAGCTCAGCCCACCAGGGGGCAGGGCTGGCTGGCATGTGGTGCTGGGGGATTGAACCGCGGTCCCTGATGCTTTTGCTAAGCTTGTTCTAAGTAGGTGCTTCAGACCACTGAGCCATCTCTCCAGCCCCAACAAAATCATTTCTGTATTTTAAGCAAATTAGATATGGTGTGCTCTGAAAACCTGTGCTAAAGGACTCACAAAATGATGACTAAGATGTCCATAAAAAATGAATTAAAATATTAAATAAAATCATTTCATTACACGTTAGTAGGTAAAGAGCAATATTAAAGGGATATACTTCATATAATTAAAGTGCATATAAACAACCAAAAAATAAAATTTTCAAATAGTAACAGGCTAATTTATCTATATGTCAAAGACTTAGGAAGGTCATCTCATTAGGAAAATGGAACTGTTTTTTTAAAAACTTGTTTCCACGCTCACTACCTGTGAGGTACAAAATGGCGTGACTCTGGAACTGTATTTCTGACTCATATTTGGGTTCACTTTTTTTGAGACAGGGTTTCACTTTGTAGTTAAAGGTGGCCTTGAACCCACTTTGTAGCCCAGAAAGATCTCAGAGATCCTTCTACCTCAGTCTCCTTAATTCTGGGATTACAGGTGTGTGCCACTATGCCTGGCTTGGGTTTGCTTTACAGTCAAGAATATAAGGTATTAAAAAGAAAGAAAAAAAAGAATGTAAGGTATTATTAAACTAGAAAGGTAATATATTTTGAGAGTAAGAAAAACATTTACACAATGCTTGTTGATTACAAAGCAGTTCCCTGATTCCTACATAGAATCTCAGTTAATCCCCGAACAACTCAAGCAGGCCAACTACCTGGATTGCTGGGCTTTGCATAAGAAAAAAGCTGCTCAGCAGCACAAGTGCCAGCCTGCCAAACACAAGATACTGAGTTTGATTCCCCTTACCCTCCTCCTCAAAAACACTGAAGCTACAGCTTCAACTGCCCAAGGCAGAGAGCTACTATGATGTCAGGTTTGAATTGAACTTCAGATTCTAAATTTCAGACTTCTTCCCTATGCTGTTTATTACTTCCAAATACAGCACTTTTTTTTTTTTTTTTGGTGGAACTGGGGATTGAACTCAGGCCCTTGCACTTGCCAGGGAAGTGCTTATTCCACTGAGCCATCTCTTCAACCCCCAGCACTACTTTCTGAATGCAAATAAAAACGGAAATAGACTCAGAAAGAATCCTCCCCAAAAGGTAAAATAAACCATTTTAGGCAGCATTATGGTAAACACGGACAAAATTAATTCAAAACTAATAAAAGTTTAAATTCATCTCTGCTGAAAACATATACTTTGAAGTATCTGTGGGACCCTTCTGTGAGAATATTTTTAACTTTTAATTTCATATTGGTGGTTATTTATTTATTTATTTATATTTAGGACAGGGCCTACAGGGTCTCACTCTGTAGATCAGACTCCTAGTGATTCTCCTGTTTTCAGTCTCCCAGGCACTGGGATTACAGGCACGCGCCTCCACGCCCAGTCTCAATTGCCATCTCAAGCGGTGCGCGGGGTGGGGCTGTCAGCACGCCAGCGATGGAACCCTGACCATCGCACTCTGCCTAAGCAGGCGCTTTAGTCCGCTGAGCTATTGGATCGGTTCCTGAGTGGTAATTTAAAAATACTCGTTAGGGGGCCTGGCCCTAGCTCAGTTCTTTAAGTGGCTGCTTCCACAAAGTTGTCAGCCTCAGGTTGCTGGAGTTCGATCCCCACAAAAGTCCAGCCAGCCAAAAGTGCCCTGAACTCATTCAAGGAGAAAAAAAACAAAAACAAAAACAAAAAAAACCCTTAAAAATACTCGTTAAGCACAATATAGAAGATCACCTTCATGAACTCCAGATAGCTATGTACTTGTTTTGTGATAATGTTACTGTTGACCCATATAGCACTAACTTAGCGGTTAGTGTAATGAGAGTGTGATGAGAGGCGGAGGCATACCTAAAATAGTCATTAATGCTACGTTACATAAGCAAAGGTTTTAGGTTAGCTTGGGTGTGGTCTGAATACAGTATGGATCTCAAGCTTTAACACACATCAGACAAGTTCTGTCTCAGTAGGACTGGAATAGGGGCTGAGAGTTTGCATTTTTAAGTTGCCCAGTGGTATCAACAGTGCAGGGAGAATTAAAAAAAATCTATCTATCTATTTGTAATGTATTTAGTACAGGATCTGCAGAATCTCTCTGGACTCGTAGTGATCCTTCTCTTTTCAGCCTCCCGAAAGCTGGATTACAGGTGCGCACCACCAAACCCAGTCTCAGTTGCCACCTCAGGGTTCCCCAGGGGCAGGGCCTGCACAGCACACCACGGATGGAACCCCAGCCTGAGCCTGCCTAAACAGGTGCTTCTGTCCACTGAGCTACCAGGCCGGCCCAAGGGATGATACTTTTAAAATTACTGGAATAGACTAGAGTGACATAGAGAAACTACAGGGATGCTGAAGTGAACTAAGCAGGTCCAAATCTGCCACAGCTGATTACAAAGTTGCCACAAGTGGTGATCACAGCTGCCATGAAGCATTACCTGCCACACTGACTTTAATTTTATTTCATTAGTTTTATAGCTTTTTCTGTTAATAAAACTCTAAATAAAACAAATTTACACAGAATTTGTTTCTATATATTAAGGAATGTTACAATAAACAGTTCAAGATAACCCAGGGCCTGTATTTTTACAGATGCCCTTTAAGTTACTCTGAGGCAGGCACAGTGGAACAAGACAGGAAGACAGCAATTTTGAATCCAGCTTGGGCAACGTAGCAAGTTAGCAAGACCCTATCGCAAATAAAAAACGGCTGAGTAGCCCTAGATTCAAGTCCTGGGACTGGAGAAAAGCACTCTGCACATTATTTGGAACTGAGAATTCAGGATACTACCTCAGTGGATTCTGCACAAAAATCTGGCATGACCAAGTTATTTTGCACAAAATAAGACACAATTTACATAATTTTAGCCATCCATTCTCAACAACAGAACTCAAAATAGAGCTATTACACTACTAAAGTCTCCCCGTAAGAATGAGCAGAACACAGCGTGAGTCTTACCGTTACTGCTGGTTTTGGCACTCTTTGCCAGCTGGGCACGAGTAGCAGCGATCAAGCTGTCATGGGCCAGCTCCTGCACCCGGAGGAACCACGGAATGCTGCTGTCTGCGCCTTCACTGGAGAGGAAATCATTCCCAGAATCCTCTGCTTCATCTTGTACAAACACTAAGTGCTCAGCCGAAGAGCCCAGACCTGGAAGAAACAAGCAGATATAACTTCGGAATTTAGCCAAAAAAATCATCTTTGAGTTAAATCCCCGATACCGGAAAAAAAAAAAAAAATCTTTTATTTGTCCTGGCCCAGAATTAGTATTACTGGAAGTACCCATGTCCTGAAGCAGCTACTTCAGATCTCTGCCTCTCACCTGAGTTTCTGTTATTGCAGATGACTAGGCTGCCCCTTTTCTATTTGCAGCCCACAGGCTTGTGGTCACCTTCTCTCCCCTTGTTTAAAGGTTACACTGTCCTTGGCAACCTGGCCAGCCCCACCCTCAAGGGCTACAAGTCCACAACCAGTCATCTCCTCCCATGTCCTTCACTTGTGTCCTATCGTCAGCTCCTCCTTACACCTTTAAAAGTGTTCTAGCTCATCTCTCTTTTCACTTTTCAAAATAGAAAACCTGAAGTATTTTTCTAGCTATTATTGTCTTACCTGTCCCTTCAAAGTTAAGTTCCTTGAGCAAGTGTCTCTTCTAAATTGCATAAGCATTTTTACCTCCTTACCAGGGCCTCCAATTTCACTACTGTAGTAACCGCTGCTCTTGCTAAGGGGCACCAGACCACGTGCTTAGCTCAACAGCCCAACCTGCAACAATCTGTGTGATCAGCATTTCTTCTTTTTTACAGCTTTTCCTCCCTTCACTTGCCACCCCTCCACACTCTTATCTAGCAGCTCACTTCTGTCGTTAGTCTCGCTTGTTTTCAGAGTTCCAGACATGCTTGTTAATGCTTCATACCTGCCGTTTCCTGAATGTTGCTATGTACTCACATGAGTTCCCAGGACTCTGGATTCTTGTTTCTAACTCTCTCAAGAACACTTCCTCCCGAATGGTCCTCCAAAATCACATCATTAGTGACACAAATTGTCGTAAACATCCATCCTCTCTAAGCCTTGCTCTGTGTCACTGTGTCAGTAACTGCACCACCTCATTTCCCAAACAAGACCTGCTGTGTCATCTTAGAATCTTCCTGTCCCTATGCACACTCAACTGAATCACCAGACCACATCAGTTCTTCGAAATAGTCCAATAATAATGCTTCTTTGCATTTTAAGTATGATTTACCTATGTTCCAACCATAATTTTTTGTTAGGCATGGGCAGAGTTTGGAATACCTACCTGCTCTTGTTAGATTAAGAAGAATAAAAGAAGTGCTATCACTTGGCTGTAGATCTTGTAACAAGCTAGGAGACTCTGGAGTGGATAAAAACTCCGGGGACTTCTGTACAGTCTGAGCCCTTGTCTCTTCTCCGTCTGGGCCCACATTCACCTGAAGGCTTCTCAATACAGCTGAGGAAGTAACTTCCTTGGAGGAATTAGTATGATTTGAAGTATCATCTAGTAAAAGGAAAATACCACAGGCTTATGTTTCCAAGGAGCTCACCATTTTGACACACAGTATTCAGTACGCTCCAACATCCAGCACCTTCAAGTCATGGGTACTGGTGCACTCGGGAGGATCACCACAAGTCTGTGACCAATCTGGGCTACAGTGATTTCAACGTCAGCCTGAACTACATTGTGAGACCGTCTTAAAATGAAACAAAACCAATGATAATAATCCTATGGAAGTACACCGCACTTTCATTTGTAAATACAAATCTACTTCACAGAAGTACAGGCGTGGTTCTTAGCTCTAAAGGCAGTCAACAAGCTGAGGAGGAGAGTTCACTGGCACTTGGCACGACTCATACTCACCCAGCCACCTCTGGACATGATAGGATATGGTACAGAGAAGCCAGAAATCACTATTTTTTTCTTAAAAAATATAGCTATACAGTGAATATTAACTCAAGAAGAGGCTTTAAATTTTAAATTTTATTGGTGGTGCACCTTCTGAACGTCGGTATTTTGCATATGACAGTGCTGGTGAATAATGAGGGGAAACAAAACAGAACCTGGGAACACCGTACACATCTGCAACCCTGGTAACTCAGCAGGCTGCGCAGGATTTCTGAGTTGGAGGCAAGCCTGTACCAACTATCTCAAAATAAAATTTAAGAGGATATAGCTCAGGGGTTGGGCATGTGCCTAGCATGTGTAAGGCCCCTTAAGCCATCATACTGAAAACAGCCTGGGAAACAAATGAAAGTTTATAGAATCGTGAGTATGTTACATTACAGATCTGGATTAATGTTGCATTACAGCTCTTTATATTGAATGTAAGATATAAATGCAGAACTATATTTTCTTTTCTTTTTGGGGGTACTGGGAATGGAACTCAAGACCTCACGCTTGCCAGGCAGGCACTTCACTGCTAAGCTACATCCCTGGCCCTCTTCTGTTATTTTTGTTTTCTTTTAAAACACAGAACTATAATGAAACACCGATTTCAATTCCTTTGGATATACACACAAGCAGGATTGCTGTCTGACATCATGTTTATGTTTTTAGCTTTTTATGTGTTTTTGGTTGAGGAACTTCCATACCATCTTCTATAATGGCTATACTAATTCCCATTCCTACCTAGTTCAGCTCTTTTTTTTTTTTTTTTTTTAACATATTTGGTATAGGGTCTCACTACACAGCTCAGCCTCAAGTTTTCAGCCTCCCCAGCACTGGGATTACAGGCGTGCACCACCATGCCCAGTCTCAGTGGCCGGTCCAGCACACATGGGGGTGAGGCCAGCCAAGCATGCGGTGCCCCATTCCTACCTAGCGTACAAGGGTTCTTTTATCTCCATAGACTTGACTATATGTACCTGTCATTATTTTGACAACAGCCATTCTAACAGTAAAAAGAATTTCCCCCCATTTCATTTCCTTCATAGTTGTCCAAATAGTCAGTAAATTAAAACTTAAAGAGAAAATTCAGGGGGAAAAAAGCCTAACATATAAAAATGTGTTAGTAACTGGAAATTTTCACAGGTTGAAAATGCATAATGGGTTGGGATAATGACTCTGAACATAGAAAAGCAGAAAATGAGAGACAGATGACAAGCTCTAGACAGGGAAATTTAAACTGATGCTGATTGACTTAAGACATCTGCCCTTTTGTTCGGCTTTTTAAGACAGGAGGGTCTTGCTGTGTACTTCAGGCTGGCCTTGAACTCACTATGTAGCCCGGGTAGGCCTTCAGCTCTCAGCAGTCTTCATATGTCAGTCTCCCAAATGCTAGGACTACAGGTGTGTGCTGGCTTATCTAGCCTTCTTAAATGTTTAAAAGTTAAAGGCAATTTTGGTTGTTTTTTTGTTTTTGTTTTTTGTTCTGTATTTTAGAGAAGGGCCTACAGGGTGTTCAGGGTCTCACTACTATATTGCACTAGTAGTGATCCACCTGTTTACTGCTTCCCAAGAGCTGGGATTCCAGGTGTGTCTCACTTGGCATCTCAGCGCAGCCCAGGGGTGGAGCTGGCACAGTAGGCCTGGGGGTCACACTCCAGTCCCTGCGCCTGCTTGCAGGCACTTTAATCCGCTGAGCTATTTAGCCGGCCCAAAGGCAGTTTATTTATTTATTCATTTTGTTGTGGAACTGGGAATTGAACTCAGGCCCTTGTGCTTGCCAGGCAAGCACTTATTCTACTGAGCCATCTCCCCGGGCCCCCAAAGGCAGTTTTAAAGTCATTCAAAAACAAATACTACCAAAGGATAGTAATTAGAAAACTTTATAACAAACAAATTGTCAAACAAAACCAAAACCAAACCTTGCAGAGGCCGGGAGTCCCACCCCTGGGCCTGCTGTGCTGGCCCTGCCCCGGTGCACTGAGATGGCAAGTGAGTGGTGCCACACGCCTGTAGCCTCCCAGCACCGGGGAGACTGTAAACAGGAGACTCACCATGAGTCTGACCTATGCAGTGAGACCCTGGAGAGCCTGTCCTAAGCACAAAAAATAAAGACATAAATAAATAAATAAAATAAAGGACTGGGAAGATAGCTCAGTGGCTTAAGTACCTGCCCAGCAAGTACAAGGTCCTGAGTTTCATCCTTCATACAAAAAAAGAAATAAAGAAAAATTAAAAAAAACAAATTGTCAAAAATAAAAATAAAGACATTGTCACCAACAAGTTAATATTAACCCTACCTGATTAAATGTCTACTTTTTTTTTTTTTTTTTGCAGTACCAGGGATCAAACTCAGGACCTTGCACATGCCAGGCAGGCACTTACGCCACTAAGCTATCTCCCCGGCCAATTTTCTAAATTTTAAAATAAAAGTCAAAATACAAAAAATTAATTATATCCAAAAATAAAGTCTACCAGATAACAGTTAAGTGAGAGTCCCTTTCTACCTACCCAAAGCTAATCTAATTCCATGCCCATAATTCTACCTCCTACTATTCAATATCTTTCTCTCTTTAGCTTCTGTAATTGGCTCCTTTCTTTCTTTCTTTTTCTTTTTTTCTTTTCTTTTTTTTTTTTTTTTTTTTTTTGGCTCTTTTAGCATAAAATAATCCTTAAAGATCTCAGACACAGCTGGGCATGTTAACAAATGATTGTAATCCCAACACCTGGAAGGCTGGGCAGGAGGACTCCATGAGTTTGAGTTCAGCCTGAACTACACAGTGAAACCCTGTCTCAAAAAAAACCAAGAAAACCTCAATTTCCCCCTATTTTACCCCTTTCCCTCTATTTTTCCCCTCTATTTTACTGCGAGGAAAACTTTACAAAATGTCAGTTACTTCAACTATACACCAGACTTGCCTTACACTGATATTGTGACCCTCTGCCCTTTGTGGACTGCCAAAGTCAGTGATGGCCCCCATGTAGCCTGAGCTCACTGGGCCGCTCAGGACCATGGGACACACTGACCTCCTCGGGTTCCAGGTCACAATCAATGCAGATACGCATCCTATCACCTAACTGACCTCTATTTCCCTTCCTTCCTTTCAGGCTCTCCACTGTATTCTCTACCTTCAATAGGAAGTTCCAAAGTTCTGCCTTGGCTTTTTTTCTCCCTCTCACTGTGTGGATGATGAGAATCATATCTATGGTTTGAACTACTAATATACTTATAACTTCCATTGCTGCTTTTTTCCCATGACTCCTAACTTGTACAGTTCCTGCCAGTCACTTGTAAGATCAGTGAGCCATTCTACCAGTGCCATAGAGTTGACAGAGGTGTTTGGGTTTGTTTTTCTCACACTCCTGGGTACTGGTTATTGCAGCTAGAGCCAATCACAGGCTAGGCAAAAGCTCTCACTGAGCTACACCCTGAGGCCTTTGTCTTACTTTATTTTGAGATATGGACTCATGAAGTACCCCCACTGGCTTCAAACTTTCCCTCGTCCTGCCTCGGCCTGGAGGAGGCTAGAATTACACTATGCTGCCTGGCTCTCAGGACTTCTGTACCCATGAGTGGTGGTCTTGATTTTTACCTGGTAACATTAGCCGACTGCATTCTGAGGCTTCAGTCACTGGAAGGAGTGACAAGCAAGTAATGTCCTTAGTTTCTGACTCGACTAGTCCCTGTCCCAGTGGGATGGAGGTATTCTGAACAAACTGTACCAGAAGCTAGAAGAGAAAAAAACCAACATTGAGAAATACAGGTTGTGAGGAAGTTTCTATACCTCTGAATTACCAAAGGATGATTGTGTACTTAAGTCTTGACTATTTACTAGACTCACCCATATTCAAAGAAAAACTAGACTATAATATTTAAAGTTACATTACCAAGTCCTCTGTTCTAGAGAAAGGTTAACTTATCTAATCAAGATAACCTCTAACATTTTCCAAAAAGTGACAAAAATAATTTTATTTTAAAATAATGGGCTATTTAAAAAATCAGCTGCACTGTACTGAGCACATTTTGCAAAGCATACTGGTTCATTTAATCTTCCTTAAATCAATAAGATTCAAAGGATATTTTACAAATAAGGACATAGGTTGCAGATATTAAGTGACTTGTCTAAGATCACGTAACAAATTAGGAACAGTGCCAGTCTTCAAATTTCAGTAATCTGATTCGTAGCTCAGTGATCTTTCCACTATGGAAAAGATTCACTATAATTAAAGTGAGAAAAAGAATGAAAAAAATATTTTAAATCTCCCAATTATGTTTAGAAAGAAAGTATTTTCAGATATATAAAATTAATAAAAGAATGGTTTGTGGTAATATATACACATACAAATTACATATAGATGACATATGACATATACATTTTATATATAAAATGGTTTTCTATTATGTAATTACTTAAATGTACATATATCCTTAATGATAAATACCCACTAAAAAATAATCACAAAGAATAAAAATAGAATTTTTAAATCTTTAAGATACTTAGTAACAGAAAAATAATAAACTACTTTTCTAATCAAAACCATTTGGTTCAGCCAGGTGTGGTGGCATACACCTGTCATCCCAGCACTTGGGAGGCTGAGCCAGAAGGACTGTTGAGAGTTCATGACCAGCCTGGGCCAAAGTGAGCTCACAGCCAGCCTAAACCATACAGAGAGACCCTGTCTCAAAAAGACAAAAAGAACATGGTCACAAGGCCTAACCTATCTATCAGATCACAGTAAAACTTTGAAAAAAAAAGAAAAGAAAAGAAGAAAAACTTTGCTGTCCCCTGAACTAAGGGTCAACTGACATGTAACCACCAAAGAAAGGAAACAGGCTGAATGGGCTTACCTCTGGTTTGGATTCTAACTCATCTGATAACATTGATTCAGCTTCCAAAATCCTGTAGCTCTTCAGGGTACAGGTTCAGATTTAATTCAGAATCA